GAATCCTGAAGCATTCATCAGAAAGAATATATGTACCCCGATGTTCATAGCAGCACAGTTTACAATAGCTAAGATCTGGAAACAGCCCAAGTGTCCCATCAGTAAGTGAGTGGATTAAAAAGCGGTGAGACATTTACACCATGGAATAGTATGCAGCTGTAATGAAGAAGAATCTCGTACCCTTTGGGACAGTATGGATGGACCTGGAGAATATTATGCTAAGTGAAATAAGCCAGGCAGCAAAAGACAAACATCACATGATCTCGCTTATACGTGGAATCTAAAGAACTTAATAAACTGATGAGCAGAATAGATTCAATGACATGGAAACATAGATGAGACTGATGAATGTCAGAGGGATGGAGGAGGGCAGGTTGGTGGAGGGGGAGAGAGTAACCAAAGAATTTATATGCATATATGCACAACCTAAGGACATGGACAATGATGAGGAGAGGGACTGGAGAGGGGGAAGGGACGGGGTGGAACGGGTCTTGGGGAGAAAAAGGGACATCTGTAATATTTTAAACAAAAATAAAATTTAAAAAAAAAATAAAAAAAGAGAATTAATTTACACCAAGATATTCAGCAAAAAAATCTTTGAAACCTAGGCAGGAGGGTATATAATTCCTTGAACCTGACCCAGGCACTCACTTTTCCCCATTAGCTGGAAAAGCCCATTTGTGCCTTGCTTCTTTAATAAATTTGCTTGCTTTAATAAATTGGCTTATCACAATGCAATCAACTGGAGTTTTCTCATTTAAATTCGTTTATATGAGAGGACAAGAATCCAGGTTAGTGACAGCCCTCTCCCTCCGACTTGGGGCTGTCCCATAACACCTCTCTGGTGTCTGTAAGAGATGCTTGTAACAACTAGGATTATGGAGGAAAAAATCATACAAAGACAACTGAAAATATACATGGCTCTACTTCAGTTCTCAATCAGACATGAAAAGCAAAACTAGCTGTTTCTTATTAAAAAGCTGTCTACAGCCCTAGCTGGTTTTCTCAGTGGTTAGAGCATCAGTCCATGGACTGAAGGTCCCCGGTTCAATTTGGGCATGTACCTCGGCTGCAGGCTGGATCTCAGCCCCACTTGGGGCATGTGCGGGAGGCAACCAATCGATGTGCCTCTCTCACATCGATGTTTCTCTCTCTCACTCCCTTCCACTCTCTCTGAAAGCAATGGAAAAAATATCCTTGGGTGATTTAAAAGAGAAAAAAAAAGCTGTCTACAATTCTTATATTTAAAATACTTTTGATCTACATGGAGGTCATATTTTTAAAATTATGTATAACAAAGACAGAAAACACCTATATCTGCAAGCATATTTCCATTTCCATACACTCAATCTAAAAGACTGTCCCTTATCTACAAATGGCCGACACCAGAAACACCCCTTTTCATCACTACTGCTACACTTTCCCCTACCATTTCCTCTTGGCAACTACTGCAGATATCAGCACTGCCTGAAACGCTAACCTTTACCTCCAATTCTCACTTTACCCTTATACAAACTGACAAAGGATCTCTAAGTGGTGACAGAAGACAGGCAGTAATATGTAGAGAGGGGAAAAGAGGTAAAAGAGTCCATTAAACCTACTTGCTAGACTTGAGTCTATTCACCATCCCATACCCCAAGACTGCTCATTACCATCAACAAGTATCAGTTGCACAAATGGATTGGGAAGGATGGAGAGAAATCTTTTTCTGCCATAGCAGAAAAAAATCATTTTCATTCTGATTCCTGCTTCTTTTTCAACTCCACTACCAGAAATAGGAGAAGGAAAAATTATATACCCAAGCCTACATTCATTATTCAGTTCTCACTCCTATCCCTACTATCCAGCAAATATTTTGCCTTCTTCATTCTATCCCAATTTATTTCCTTCCCTGCAATCTCTTCCCAAAAAGATTGCAATCTCTCATATATAGCCTCAGCTCAGCTAATCATACCTATCCAATGGATTGCTATGTTCCCATCAATTTATATATTTTTACCTAACACAAATTCTAGGGTTACTTTCCTGTTTCTCATTTTCCCTCCCATTCCACCAACATTTGGAGTCACAATTAGCTTGGAATTGAGATGAAAAGACTATTGTTCCCATAAAGTATGTACAATGCTAATGATGTACTATCCAAACTTCAAGCAAGTTATTTTAATATTTTTGGAAGGAATTAGTTTAGATCACCACTTCAAAATCTGGCTGAGAAATTTCCAGGCCCCAATAACATGGATTCTGAAAATGTACATCTGAAATGGAACGCAGAAATTTTCTAAAAGGCACTAAGATGAGTGTACTGATGCGCCATGCCTGAGAATCAATAATAAATGCTAAGGGCCTTTCTAGTCTAACATTCCAACATTCTAAGCTGGAATTTTCACTCCATTGTCTGATGGAATATTGTTATAAAAGGACTGTAGTTTCCAGTTACTGATATTAGAGATTCATGTATGTTACTAATTAAATGGGCCTTTTTAAAGCACGTAAGCACCATTTATTATTTTATGACCATAGCTGACTTGCAAATGAACATGTAAAATAGATGTTCACAGACTGGGAACCATGAGTATTATAATAATAGTAAGAACTCAAAGGAAAACACTAAAAATTATTTCTTTGGAATTATGTTCATCATCAGACTTTTTCAGATTTTCTTCAAGTCACAAGTAAGATCTGACCTACATATCAGAAATAAAGGTAGGAAGGCATGCTCATTAGGATCTTTTATTTTGCTAGTTCACTGATGGGGCTTTGTATATATATCACTGGAATAAAGCCTAGAGAAGTCTAGATCATTGGTGAAATTCAGGGCATTAAGATACCTAAAGAACAGTTCTCATTCAAAGGTTTACAGACTGCCAGGACTTTACCTGCCCAGAAGCACACCAGATCATTCACTTATGAACTACATGTATCTATTCTAGTTCTAGTAACTTCTGACTACCAATTCTCATTATAAGCAAATGTCCTCTTGGTTAATAGTCAAGCTTATAGACATGTTTCAACATATGGAAACTAAGCAAGTATAAACAGCACTTGAAAACATAACACATTAAAACTGTGTTAATTTAAGTGAAACCTATTCATTTATGAATCAATGAATAATAAAATTATTACAAAAAGATAAAAATGGAAACTGAATTATATGCTAGTCATTTTTCTTTAAAAGATGTACTTCCTTAAATTTGTACAAAATAGCATTATAAATAAAAGTGTGTTCATCTATTTCCTCATTTCTCCAAACATAAAAATATGTACTGAATGCCATTATGTAAGTGCATTCTCTGAATATCAAGAACGCAATGGTTGCTATGGTAACTACTCAATTTACTAAATAAATTGTGGGTTGGCGTTTAAAGCATTCTTTTAAAAAACAAATTTCAACATAATTATACCCAATAAGTCTCTATTGCTATTTGCTAAACAATAACAGTGGGCCACCTTTGAGATTATTTAAGCAGCTATTTAAAAAGCTAGGCTTCAGTTGCTAAGAGAAGAAAACTTTTGACTTTAAAAAGTTTGAAAAATAACACACATCAACTATATTCAAAGGAACAAAGACACTTAGCTTTAATCTTCAGCAACATGACCTTAGACTGCTGTTTCATCAACTCAAAATTTTGCTTCTAATGCTAAATTAAGTATGATTAACACTTAATTGCTAACTTTTCAGTTTACAATTAAGCTAAATCCAGAGCAAGTAGAATTAAACCTCATTTTGTTCTTTAAAATTTCTCCTGAGCATATGAAAAAACTGGGAATTTGCCGTCAGTGTATTATTATAAAATAGCTCTGTAAATAAGCCTATACTTAAAAATGCCAAGGATAACTGTGGACCCCAACTATAAACACTCCTCAGGCACAAGCAAAGCTACTAAGACTTCTTCCTTTGCTTATGATTTCCCATGGGAGGGTTCCCAGCTACAGTTAGCTTCTCCAGGGCATGTGTCTTAGGGTTGCTTATTCAAAAACTAAGCTCTATTTTGAGAACCTACCCCAGATCTCTTCCACCTCTGCCTAAATAAACACTAAAATCAAACATCTGAAGTATAGTGAGTGGGCACCGTGAAGTACAGTTAGCTAAAAGGCCTGCTAACTTCGAAGCCCTGGAATCCAAGGAAGCTCGGGCTAAACCCGTAGGAATGAAGTTCTTAGGAAGGTGATCTGACCCGGCAGCAATCAAATAAGCTGGTCAAGCGCGAGAGAGACGCAACTCGGACTTGTTTCAGCCCGTCTTTCAAATGGATTTTACCTGCCATCGTGTTTTACCTTCCCGTCTCTCCCAACGAGCGACCTCCACTTCCTGTATGAGGGTGTGTTTGTGTGTGGCGACAAAAATCTCAGCACTCGGCTAGGGGCTGGGCATTGGAAGGGGTAGAGACTGAGTTCTTACACAGGCCTGGAACTCTCCAGATGGGCCCTCGAAGAACGGGGTCCGGGCCTGGGCGAGCGGCACTGGCAGGGGCTGACATTCAGCTCCTTCAGGTTGTAATGGTGGTCCCCTGGCGGGAGGGTAGAGGTGACAAAGGGCTGCGGGCGCTGATGCCTTCCCCAG